TGTGCATCTCTGGACATTATCCCCTTTCTCTCTTACTGGAGTGTTGGTCTACCTCACTTTTCTGCCAGATTTTTTTCATTTTATTTAGCCTACATCATTATATAAGCCAGAGTTCTCAAGAGAAATAGAAACAGTAAGATGTGTTTGCGGTGTGTATGAGTGTGTGTGTGTGTGTGTGTGTGTGTGTGTGTGTGTGTGTGTTTAGAGATCTATCAATCTATCTTCTGTCATGATTTATTTTAAGGAATTGGGTCATACAGTTATAAAGGCTGAAAAGTCCCAGAATCTGCCATCTGCAAGCTAGAAACTCATGAAAGCCAGTGGTTTAATTTAGTCCCCATCTAGGACTGAGAACTAGGGTCACAGGATCCTTACAGCATCTTTTCACCAGCTAGAAACCTCTGAGATCCGTGGCACCTCTGCTTGGGTTTTGCTGGTGCCCGATGGGCTTCTTCTGCCCACCTGGCCTTGCAGGCTGCTCTCGGCTTACAGTACCAACTTACATCCCACCCTGCCAAGGCTGAGCCAGGAACGACGTGATGAGGGGTGTGTGAGCAAGCGGGCATTGGGGTTCAGCCACCTGTGCACAGCCAGGTGCACCACCTGCAGCAGGGTGGGCAGCTCCAGGTGCCAGTACAGGCACTGGCTCCATGTGAGGCTGCAACTGGACCAGACATACTGCAAGTGGCTTCTGGCTGCCAGCACCAGTGTCTGGACAAGGGGAATGTGATGGCACCTGACAACTTAGAGATGCCAGGGTCTGCAGAGCCCCAGAGAGGGTGTTACAGTGCGTCACAGCCCTGGCTTAGGAAGTCCTGAGGTCTGGGCTCCCAGAACGACTACAGTTCTCCTCTCCTTGCTTCCCACAACATGGCAAGTGAGGTGTTGAGAAACACTGCAAAGGAGAAAGGACGTACAGAGTGCCTACATAAATTGGTTATGAGTAACATATAAACAAGGAGCAACGAACTGCAGAAGGCATCAGGAAACCTCTGAGGAAGAAGGTCTCTTCATGCCACTGAACTCGAGGTACCCACAGGTGATGTACGGCTGGCTCCCTACATTCTGGTGCCCATTGTGGGGCTCATGGATCCCCACATTCTGGTGCACCAACGTGTGGGGCTCAAGGATACCCTGCAGTGGGGGATGCCTTTTAGTTCTGTTTGTGTTACAGCTCTTTTAGTTCCACCGTTTGGTGGGTCCCAAGTTCTTATCCTGTGACCAGGAAGAATGAGTTGAGCAGACAACTGGAGGGTAAGCAAGACAAAGAGAAGATTCACCAAGCAACAGAACAGCTCTCAGGAGACTCAGAGTGGGGAGCTCCTTTCTATGGGCAGATCATTCCAGCAAGAGTATGAGTCTGGCTGAGTTTGGGATTTTTGTGTTTTCAAAATGGAGGAAGTGTGTGGTGATTGGTCAATGGGTGGCCACCAGCAGGCCTGGAAAAATCACCATCTGATTGGCTGGACAGTCATCAGTGAAATTCTCACTCTGGGCCATGGACTTTGCCCAGAACGGGGCCTGACCCCTAGGCTTCAGGTCCTCCCTGGCCTGAAGTTGAAGTTTCACCGGGGACCTACCCTTTTCCGCCTAGGAACCTGTCTGCCTTTAACATGCCATCCATGGTGCCCAGACTATCCACACAGAAAGGAGCCCATAGACCTGTGCTGAGCCACCTTCAACCCACTCCTAGTGCTCTTTCGTGCTCAAAGTCAAGAGGGGGTCAAGGTGACAGGGGGCTAGTATGTCAGCACTGCCCTGAGCCAGATTTTGACAGCACTTGGTATGTCAGCACACTGGTATGTCAACACACCTGGCCGGGTTTTGACAGAACTTGCGCTTGGCCACAACTTTGCTCTGCCCTGGGGCAGGCACTGGGGGTGGGGAGAGGGAGCAGACCCTTTCAAGCCTGCAGGGGCAGGGAACTTCTGGGCCCCTGAGAGAAAGTACAGGGATACCTGAGTCTGGAGCTGCAGCTGGGTGGTTGCACCTGGGAGCATGGGGCCCACCCTGCCAATTCAGTAGTGGAGGGGTTCCCACTTAGTCCTAGACCTGACAGCATCTCCGCTGCTGCAGCTGGTACCCCAGCAGCGGCTACTCCCAATTGGCTGGTGCCACCATTACTAGGAGCACTGATGATACAAATTCCAGTCAAAGGTTTAGAAAAGATGAGATGAGATATCCCAGCTCAATGAGGAAGCAGCAGGATAAGGGGTGGATTCCCCCTTCCTTCACATTTTGTTCTATTTGGGCCCTCAACAGATTGGCTTATGCCCAACTACTTAGGAGAAGGCGCCCTATTTAATAAGGCCACCATTCAATATCTGGATGATACCGAATGCCAATATCATCCAGAACCTACTGTCACAGACACCCAGAAACAGTATATAATGTGGGTGCTGTCTGGCTTACTTAAATTAACACACAAAGTATATTGCAGCACTGTTCACAAGAGCCAAGATATGAAAACAATCTAAGTTCTCATCAATGGAAGAGTGGATAAAGAAAATGTGGTACGTATATACAGTAGAATACTATTCAGCCATAAAAGCAATGAATTCCTGTTATGTTCAATGACATGAATGGAACTAGAGGCAATTTTATCAAGTGGAATAAACCAGGCATAGAAAGACAAATGTTGCATGTTCTCACTCATGTGTGAGAGATTTAAAAGTTGATGTCATTGAGGTGGAGGGTAGAATTAGGGTTACCAGAAGCTGAGAGGGGTGGGGTACAGAGTGGCTGGTTAATGGGTATAAACATACAGTTACAAAGAAGAAATAAGTTCTGGTATTTGATAGCACAGTAGGGTGAGTGTAGTTAATAATAATTTATTGCACATTTCAAAGTAGCTTGAGGAAGAGATTTGAAATGTTCACAACACAAATGAATGATAAATGTTTAAGGTAGTGAAGATCCAAATTGTCTTGATTTAATCATTATGTATTGCATACATGTATCAAAATATCACATGCACTTCATACATTTGTATTATGTATTCGTTAAAAAAATTTAACTATCACAATAATATTCTCAATATATTCTCTTCTCCTTGGAAAAGGATATGTGAATGACAAATGTTTGATACATTGAAACCTGAAAATACTTTTATGCTAACACAGAATTGCTAGTTTAGATGTCTGTAATATTTAGATGGAAAATAATTTATCTTCAAAATAATAAAGGCAATTATTTCATTATTCTTAATTACTTTTAGTTTTCTATCTTGTTGTTCAGAAATATGAGGTTATTTGGATTTCTTTTCTTTTCAGGTGATCCATATTTGACCTCTCTCTCTCTCCGTACTTCGCTCCTTCATCCTCTCAAATTGCAGATTACTCTTTTTTTTCTCCAGTGTTCTAAAGTTTCTTAACATCTTGCCCTAGCAGAAGTCTATATTCTTGCCCAGGGCTCGGGCCTCAGTGGACTCTTTGAATTAGCAAATGTTCTTTAGTCTGGACCTATTTTCATGATCATATTAAGGGTTTCCTGCAGTGTTTTCTTTTTGGAAGCAATCTATATGTTTATGCTTAATCTGTTCAGTTGGTCCTCCGTTTTGTCCCATATCTCTGACTTTCTAAGTTATTTCTACAGCTCTGTCTTCTGAGCATTATATATGTATACATACATACATACATACATATATATATATATGTATACATACCTATATCACTATCATGTTTTTAATTTCCATATTTTTCCAAATATCCCTTTTATAGTATCCTGCTTTATATCATAGAGTCAACATTTTTATTAACTTTCTGTCTTCCATTATTGTTTCCACAGAGTGAACGTTTACAGGAATGGTGCATACAGGAGAGGCCTCACTGACAATCTCTTTAGTATTTCATTTTGGGCTGGTCAGTTTTTCTGGGAACTACTCCCAAAAGATTTTTGTTTGATAGTAGAAGATAGGGTGAAATAAAGATGGGCATCAGCTTTCGGTTTGCATGCATTAGTATTTCTGTTTTTGATCTATTACCTCTGCCTACAAAAATGTCTGGATCAGCTTAATAGTTGACAATTCACAACACTTGGCATCTCTACTAAAAATACAAAAATTAGCTGGGCATGGTGGCATGCACATGTAATCCCAGCTATTCAGGAGGCTGAGGCAAGAATTGCTTGAACCTGGGAGGTGGAGGTTGCAGTCAGCTGAGATTTTGCCACTGCACTCCAACCAGGGCGACTCAAAAAAAAAAAAAAAAAAAAAAAAAAAAAAAAAAAAGTGACCGAATTCTCCTGATTAATAAGTCCTGTTCTTTTTCATTTCCAGAGAACAAACTGGCATTCTTCTGTCTGTTTGAGGGACTGTTAGTCATGTGGCTGAATGCAGTCAAGGAAGAAACCCAGGAAGCTACTCATTCTTAAATAGATTTTAAGTGACTATTCTAATTTTCTGATCCCTGGTTTACCACTACTTTCAGAGGTATGAGATGCTGTTAATTCATGTATCTTTTAAGTATTCTGTATTAAAAATAAATACATTTGATTATTAATCTCCTCCACTGCCAATTTAGAATTCCTATTTTATAGCTTAATTGACTACTCACTTGTTACTTTTCATTGTTCAAAATTTCATTGCTTTTTTTTTTGAGACAATGTCTTGCTCTATCACCAGGTACCAGGCTGGAGTGCAGAGGTGCATTGTCAGCTCACTGCAACCTCTGTCTCCTGGGTTCAAGCAATTCACCTGCCTCAGCCTCCTGAGTAGCTGGGACTACAGGCATGCGCCACCATGCTCAGCTGATTTTTGTATTGCTTTAGTCGAGACGGGGTTTCACCATGTTGGCCAGGATGGTTTCGATCTCTTAACCTCGTGATCTGCCCGCCTTGGCCTCCCAAAGTGCTGGGATTACAGGCGTGAGCCACCGCGCCCAGCTTTCATTGCTTTTTTAAAGAAATTATTCATTGAAGATAAGAGATTTGTCTTAAAAATCAACCTTTATCTTACTCTCAAAAGCAACTATAGTTTTGTGATACATTAAGATTATACAGTTTGTGAGGGAGGTCCTTTTTAAAAAAGATAATACCAAAATATGAATAAATTGGAAGTGCCTCATAGAGTAACTCTGCGGTTTTCTTTTATCCACAGGGCTATTGTTAGATTTGTGGGAAAGAACTACAAGATGGTTGCTAAAAGTATGAAAAAGCCAGTTACTAAACATATGAAAAATATGAAAACATTTTTACCTTAGGTATTGGCATATGCCACACATCTGTACTATTCTTGAGTGTGATTACTTAGAAATGAGTATCATTTGAACTCATTCATGTTTAGAGAGGGTGTCAAAATGAGAACCAGGAAGATCTACCTGCACTAAAAATGGCCCTAAACTAAATTGGTAGAAGATATTAGATCCCAAATATTCTTGGGTAATTTTGAAGTCTTCATTAGTATATCCATATTAAAAGGAGATAACAGAAGCCAAAATAAAAGAATTATGGACTGACAGGACTACTGGATTAAAATAAGCTTCAGTTTCATTACACAGAGCTAACTTGAAGATAAATCTTTTGAAAATAAATTTTGACTCTAGCTCTTCAGAGGATCTAAAGTGGCCTTGATGGACGTAGAAGAATCACAACATAGAATTCCTTGAATAAAAATTTATTGACTTCAAATAAAAATAAATGACTAAAATATGAATAAAATAGGAAGTTTGATACAGAATCTTGGAAGCAGTCTATGCAATTTATATGCCCTAAATTTAAGATTAACCGGCTTCATGGTGAATGTATTTCTCATTCGTGTGTCAGTGGTTTTGGGAGGAAGATGAACTAGATACTCATTTTCCACTTGCCATCATTATTCAGAAGGCTGATTTAAATAATTTGTAAGTATGCTCACTCAAAAATGCCATGTTTTGAAACAGTTCATTTTTTGGATTATTTTTGTGGTTATTGGATATTAACATATAACTAGAATATAGTCTTTAATGGCCTTAGGCCTTTACACAACACCTAAAATAAATTTAGCGTCATTTACTCTATCATATATGCAAACTACTTTCAGCTTGGTAAACTTATTGCCTGACATAATATGAGTAAGTGTCAAAAATTCCTCAAATATACAAAATATATGAGTGTGTAAATACTGAAGAGACAAACATATGAAAATGAGGAAAAGAAGAAAATTGGAGAGAAGGTGTAATATTAAAGGGATGCCATAGATCTCAAATATGTGGCATTTAACAATCAAACAATTGGTATCTAGACATAAGCAATTCCATGAGAAACAGCAGAAAGTGCAAAGGCCCTAAGGCAGGAGCTATCTGAGTATTCAAGAGACAATGGTGAATTCAGTGTAGATGAAGTGCAGTAGTAAAGTTGTCACCAATTAGAGGAGGCAAAATTAGAGTTATAAGAACAGGGGCAGAAGGGCATCTTTGTGGCATCATCTATGTAGCATATAGGTAGTCTACTCTATGGATTTTGGCTATGAGACAGATGGTTAACTATTTAAGGATTTGCTCATAGATTAAATGCTTAATTTGAGATATTTGTCATGAATAATTTCAAGATTTTTGGAGAAATATGTCCATAGTCATGGAAAGGCAGCCAGACAGAATATGTGTTTAATAGATGAGAAAATGAATGAAATAAACTAGAAAAGTTAATTAAATTAAGTGACATTTCGAATGATTAGAATGTCTAGCACAAAAAGGAGCACAATTCTCATACTTGTGGAATAAATAAAAATGAATACAAACACGAATATGAGTAAAATTGATGAGCACCATAAAAAAGTAACAAATTTAAATGAGCACAAAATATGTTACTTTCAAATAAGTGACAAAATATTGTATATCCCCAGATAAAGTTATGTGGAGTCATCTTGAAATCTTTTATCTTTATTTGGAATTTAGAAATTCTAATTTCTACATGTATTCCCTCTTTAAAAAAAGCTTACTGATTTCTGTAGGTTAATAGGACCTCTCTTTCTTTCTCTTTCTATATGCACATATAATATTCATACAAATATTTTATTTGTATATACACAAACCAATAAATTATATGGTTTCATTTTAAATTGCCAAAAAAGCCACGGTGAATTTTAAAAGCCATGGTGAAATTAGATGTTTACTATTTATCTTATTTTATTTTAAATTGACAATATAGGGTACGATGTGATGATTTCATATATAGATGCATGGTGAAATAATCTAATCAGGCTAACTAACATGTACATCACTTCACATAGTTATTCATTTGTAGTCAGGACCTAAAAACAATTAAATAAGCTATAATTATATAAACTATCATTTATAGTTTATATATGATAGCTATAGTTAAATTATTAACTATAGCCACTATGCTGTGCAATACATGAACAGAACTTATTTTTACACAGGACAATAATGCAAGTTTATTAAACAGTTTTTGCTGAAACACCCCCTCCCAAACCAAAACCAAATATTTAACTACATGGATATCGAGAGTACCAACAAACTCGGGTCATGTGAAAGAAGTCCATAGTATAATTTGTACAAATTGAAAGACAGTATGGGAACTTGACCATGACATTGCCTTTAATGTTTAACATGATGCAGAATTCAAAAATAATTATAGAAAGGCTATATTATTTTCAGTGGAGTTCAAAGGATTTGGACATATTGTCTGATATTGTCATATGAGATAAAAAGTCAGAAAAAGGAAAATAATAAAGACCAATGAAATTTAGAACATTATTTACTTTTTGAATTTTAGGAAAAAAATGCTGACAACACAAATCAGAAAAAGAGCATTGAGAAGGCTATGTATATTACTATTTCACCATTGCAAAACGGAATAGGACTATGTGTGTGAAAGTAAATATGTCAAGAAAGTGAATCAACCTACAAAAAGAAAACATGTTAACTTCATATAATTTGTCAGAAAAGCAGCAAACTAAACTAAATGCAATAGAATTGTATACTTTGAAAAAATATATTCACAAAAAAAGAAGGGAAAAAAAAAGCATTATACCTTCAAGGAAACTGAAGCAATTCCTGGAAATATTAGGAATGAAACAAAGCTTCATTTTGCATTCTGGATTTAGAAACTGACAGAAGGACTTTTAATTTGACTCAGTCTTGTAATATGCTGCAGCAGAAAAACACTGAGTTGTCACGTAAAAATTTGTACTGAATTTTTTTTGTATATCATAAGTTTGGTTGGGAGAGAAACAAAGAAGTTAAATATAGATTTAGCTCGACCTGAAATGACAAAAACAGGTAAAATCTGTGCAACATTATTCATGTCTTTTGACTTCCTACAATTATCTTAAATATGTTAAGAAATATTGACATCTACACAGGATATACATTAACATTTCATATTTGTAAAGATGGTCTATGTCAAAAAATTATTTAACATGGTCCAGACAACCGTACATTTGATAATACAATGCAACAAATTCAGTATCACTCATGATAAAGGAAATGACATGGTGGCATATAATTTTCTTGAATATTTTATTTCAGCCTAAATATTTTAAAAATAGGATTTTTCTTTAGTTCTCAAACATATCACATAGCTTTTTAAAAAATCAGCATAGGGAACAGATTAGGTGAATTAATTTTAATTCCACATGAATCCTTTAATTTTTTAAAATGTAAACTCTACCATAAAGAAAAACATAATTGTTTAATTATATTTTGCCTTAAAATTGGATCTATTATTATTTGATTTTCTTACAATGAAACTAGAAATATACATAACAAAATATGAGCCTGGGTGTGGTGGCTCATGCCTATAATCCCAGCACTTTGGGAGGCTGAGGCAGGTGGATCACCTGTTAAGAGTTTAATATCAGCCTGGCCAACATGGTGAAGCCCTGACTCTACTAAAAATACAAAAATTATCCAGGCATTGTGGTGGGCATCTGTAATCCCAGGTATTAGAAGCCTGAGGCAGGAGAATTGCTTGAACCTGTGGGGTAGAGATTGCAGTGAGCTGAGATCTCCCTACCGCACTCCAGCCTGGGTGATAAAAGTGACACTCGGTCTCAAACAACAACAACAACAATAAAAAACGAATGATGGGGAAAATGTGATTAGTAGAATGAACGAAAGAACTGAAAAAAATAAAGGGACACCTTATCTGTAGCTTGAATAACCAATTTTTTGGGGAAAAATGCTCTTTCATAAGATTGATCATAAGACCTAGCTTTGTGAATCTATACTGAATATCAAATATAAGGAAATAGTAGCATTCAGGCAAAGAAAATAAAAATTTCCTCAATGTCTTTTTTAGCAGTGTTAGGTGTCAGAAAAGCGGAAAAAAAATTCCCTAAATCAAATAAACAACTACTAGAACTGAGTAATTTTAAACTTTACATAATAAAAGTTAATGTAAAAAATTTAATTGAATTTTTATATCCTGAATTTGTAAATACCAGATAGGGGATTTACAATGACAGTAGTTTTGAGATTCAATAAATATTGCCCCAGAATAGTATACATGAGACAAAAGATCACTAGAGCGAATAGCCAAGATCTTACATCAAGTTGTATTAAACTGCATTTGCAACATACGCCTATTATAGGTTATATATTTATCTGTAACTAGAACACCAAAATGTGTATATGCTCAGGCTAAGTATAACATTGTTTTCTAAAGAACAGAGCTTGCTTTTCCCAGTCATAAATTCACTTTCTTCCCTGAACATCAAAATGTTAAAATAAGCAAGAATTATCAACTTGGCCTTAAAGGTCTCCATTAGCATATTTCTGAAATCAAAATCCTAGAAAACCCAGCCATCACATTCTAGTAAGCTTCATGAGGTTTGGTATTATGGACACCCACACAAAATTGTGCCCTATTTTTCTTGCCCAATCACCCTAAGTTTGCTGGCCGGTGTTCCAGAATATCTTCTGTGCAAATCTTAGATGCTGGTACAATTCTGTCTTCAGGTTGTACCTATGGATGACCATAAGTTCCAAATACCACGAATAATAGCAGCTTGGAGATGAGTTTAATATCCAGACTCAGATGTCTCTTGGAGTGTATGTCATTTAGGATGCTTTATGTCATATAACAAGAAATCAAAAATGACAAGAAATGTTTTAAAATCAGATAAAATTATTTCCATTAACAGGAAGAGTGAAAAATGAAGCAATTTTATGGCTAAGAGGTTTATAGGCCATCAAGA